TGTTTTCTATTAAGAAAGTTATAATGTATTGAATTCAATCTTATGAAATCATTAATCCAAAAGTGGAAATACTTTTTTTTACTATAGGCAGCAAGTAGTAGATTTTCAGATAGTTAATAGACGAGCGTAGCGAGGCTAGGAATTCAGACAAGGCAGTCGTCAATCTATATTTTTTTCTCCTAATGTTTTTGAACCAATTTTTTGTAATTATTTATTTATTTATTTATTGAACAAATAACTTCCAGACATAATAGGCTCTGGTATAAGGAAGTACATAATTATATACCTATAGGTAAACATAGCATCATTCAAAATATATCAACAACTGTAAATTGGCAAACAAAGAATAATATTTGTAAATGAAAAAAAAAAAATGGCATGATTAATTTTATCCAGTCCGCTGAGAAATAATCAGTTTTTTTACTTCATTTTTGAATATACCTATATTTCTGCAATTTTTTATATTATCAGGTAGTTTATTGAATTCAGTTAAGGCTGAATGAGTGAATCTTTTTTGTCCGATTAGGGAGCTAGCGGCGTCAAGATGGAACAAGTTATATTGTCTAGTTTCATGATTATGAATTTCAGAATTCCGTATCAAAATAATATTCGACTTCAATTTTTTATTTATGATATTATATGATATTTTGAGAGTTTCAATTCTATATATTTTATCTAAAGAATACGTATTTGTTATTTCATACAATTGGTTGGTTGGTGTATCAAATGGGAGACGATACAATACTTTTAACGATTTTCTATATAATATTGATATTTGTTGATATTTTATTGAAATTATTTTTTGAACAAGATCCCCAAACATTTATTAAATAGTTGATACGACTCAGTATATGAGAGTAGAGAATCATGTTTGCAATTTTAATATCAATTTTGGGACATCTTCTCAATGCACCAATAATTGGAGATATTTTTTTTGTCAGAACATCAATATGTTTGTCCCACTTCAACCTGTCATCAAATATTTTATTGACCTCTATCATTTTGGGTCCACCTAATGCCAGTGTACGTTTTGATAACCAATTTCATTCATTCAAATTACAAGTCCAGAAAATACTATTTTTTTGGACGAGTATATAGACAAATTTGAACAGAATACCTAAACCTACTAACCGTTACATTGGAAATTTCAAGAAATTTCGTATGGACATTTTCAAACTTACTATCGTAGCTGCTCTCCATAGTTTTTTGCGATAATTGCAACCAAACTTTCAAATATCAAAAACGTCAACTAATTTCATGTCGAATAGCTGTCAGCCAATATTTCGCTGCTATGGTAATTATCATCTGCATTTATCAAAACCATATCTACCAAGATTTTCATAGTTACAGTGACAACAACTATGTGATACTTCCCGGCCTAGTCCGGGAAGTACGTACTTCCCGGACTAGGCCGGAAAAATGCTACTTTTTCAAATAAAAAACGTCCGGGAAGTGAACACTTCCCGCACGGTTGCAGAAAAAAGTTTTTTTTCAGGATGGCAGTTCAGACGAGTTGTACGTTATTAACAATAATTATTATTGAATACATAAGTGAAACTTACCATTTTGAAATCCTAACAAATACTATATACACGTAACAACTTTTTAATACTTATATAAAAAGTTAACGTTTGAGGAATGTGCTATTTTTTTCAATGAATATATATAATACAGATAGATGATGATTTATCTCATGATAACTTATCATGAAGAGATTTAAATATGAGTTTCGAAGGATATAATATGACTCATAATAGTATGTACCCACCTATAATATAGTTGGATATCTCTATTACCTTTGACTATACAGAAGATAATATACTTACAAAAATAGGTATACCCACATAATAAACTAAATTATGTTGTTATAGTTATACAGGTTGTTTCCGAAATTAGAGCGATAAATGAAGTGGGGAAGAGACGTCAGAAAAACAAAAAGAAATCAAAGAATACATTTTCGCCCGCGAAAAAATATTTCAGGAGGTATCAAATTTCAGAACTTTTCTTAGACCTTCATCAAACAAAAAGTAAGAAAACTGGATATCTTACAGGGGCACTTTTTCAAGGAGTCCTCACTAGTGTCCCTCATTGAATTTCCATTGAAAAAGTTATTCAAGAACTATAATAGGGCCCATAAAAAAATTCTCGAAACTCGCTATCTCATCTTTTTCAGGTCCTCTGATTATGATACCTTTTCCCATATTTTACCAGAGACCCTGTATAGATCTCTTAGTGTCTTGTAGATTGTAGATTATAGATGGGTCGTAGAGGCTGGGAGACCTCTCGATCACTGCGACCTAGAAGATCTATTGTGATTACCTCTATCTAGTTTTGGTCCTCTAACCCTAGACTTCTGATGAAGCCTACGATTTTCCTGACGGTTGACTTTTCCACTTTAGCAGGGGTGAGATAGACCTGTCTAGGGTCTATGTGTAGCTTTTTTCACGGCATGAAAAGCCAAATGTATATGAAGCAGGTTTCGGGATGTATCTGTCATGATTTTTTTCATGAAGGAGTATTAGACTAAATGATTATATTTAGTTCAATTCAATCCAAGGAAAAAACAGACGTGAAATGATATAGATTCAATATAGTGATACTGTAAACGAAACTCACCATTTTTTGGTGACTTTATAACTCGAAAATTATTTGGATCTTCTCACACCGCGCGTAATTTAGAACTAATTCGAAATAGCTCACGAAATCGAAATATAGATAAAAGAGATGGGGACAGATGAGAGTGAGAAAGATATCTTTGGAAAATTTCGATTAGTTTTCTTGATCCGTGTGAAACTGTTGGGACGCGATATTTTTAGCAGTATATTAGATTTTATGATGTTCTCTAGACGTTATCTAAATTTAGTAGGAGAGATACTTTCTGCATGTACTTGCAATCTTTCAAAATAATGTATGAAACATGAGTACAAAATAATGTAGTCGGTAGGCGTGAGAAATCGTTAGAAATATAATACCATCAGGTATTTTTAATGGAAACAGCCCTATATGTTGATTGGTATTGTAAAGAGACTATAATTTTTTATTCAGAAACTCTTTTTACTTACATGGATTGATAATCTTTTTAGTTATTAGTGTTCTGAATTGACGCGTTGAACTGCCATCCTAGAAAAAGTTGTTTTCACGAACGAATTAAGCCGAGAAAACTTTCATTTTGAATATCTCCTAATTAACCGATGCAAATTGAAGACACTTCAATATCTACTAATTTACACTTGCAACTGTAAATCAGGCAAATATTATAGTTAAAAAATTTTTTTTTTAGTATGACAGTTCAGACGCGTCGTAGAATTCAAATCAATTAATCAATCAATCCTATATTGAAGTTCATTCAGTTTCGACCAACGGACCCATATTTTTTAATATTTTGAATTTAAAAAAATCAATATTGTGAATAAAAATTGATTTTTCATCTGCAGGACTGTTTTCTATTAAGAAAGTTATAATGTATTGAATTCAATCTTATGAAATCATTAATCCAAAAGTGGAAATAGTTTTTTTTTACTATAGGCAGCAAGTAGTAGATTTTCAGATAGTTAATAGACGAGCGTAGCGAGGCTAGGAATTCAGACAAGGCAGTCGTCAATCTATATTTTTTTCTCCTAATGTTTTTGAACCAATTTTTTGTAATTATTTATTTATTTATTTATTGAACAAATAACTTCCAGACATAATAGGCTCTGGTATAAGGAAGTACATAATTATATACCTATAGGTAAACATAGCATCATTCAAAATATATCAACAACTGTAAATTGGCAAACAAAGAATAATATTTGTAAATGAAAAAAAAAAAATGGCATGATTAATTTTATCCAGTCCGCTGAGAAATAATCAGTTTTTTTACTTCATTTTCGAATATACCTATATTTCTGCAATTTTTTATATTATCAGGTAGTTTATTGAATTCAGTTAAGGCTGAATGAGTGAATCTTTTTTGTCCGATTAGGGAGCTAGCGGCGTCAAGATGGAACAAGTTATATTGTCTAGTTTCATGATTATGAATTTCAGAATTCCGTATCAAAATAATATTCGACTTCAATTTTTTATTTATGATATTATATGATATTTTGAGAGTTTCAATTCTATATATTTTATCTAAAGAATACGTATTTGTTATTTCATACAATTGGTTGGTTGGTGTATCAAATGGGAGACGATACAATACTTTTAACGATTTTCTATATAATATTGATATTTGTTGATATTTTATTGAAATTATTTTTTGAACAAGATCCCCAAACATTTATTAAATAGTTGATACGACTCAGTATATGAGAGTAGAGAATCATGTTTGCAATTTTAATATCAATTTTGGGACATCTTCTCAATGCACCAATAATTGGAGATATTTTTTTTGTCAGAACATCAATATGTTTGTCCCACTTCAACCTGTCATCAAATATTTTATTGACCTCTATCATTTTGGGTCCACCTAATGCCAGTGTACGTTTTGATAACCAATTTCATTCATTCAAATTACAAGTCCAGAAAATACTATTTTTTTGGACGAGTATATAGACAAATTTGAACAGAATACCTAAACCTACTAACCGTTACATTGGAAATTTCAAGAAATTTCGTATGGACATTTTCAAACTTACTATCGTAGCTGCTCTCCATAGTTTTTTGCGATAATTGCAACCAAACTTTCAAATATCAAAAACGTCAACTAATTTCATGTCGAATAGCTGTCAGCCAATATTTCGCTGCTATGGTAATTATCATCTGCATTTATCAAAACCATATCTACCAAGATTTTCATAGTTACAGTGACAACAACTATGTGATACTTCCCGGCCTAGTCCGGGAAGTACGTACTTCCCGGACTAGGCCGGAAAAATGCTACTTTTTCAAATAAAAAACGTCCGGGAAGTGAACACTTCCCGCACGGTTGCAGAAAAAAGTTTTTTTTCAGGATGGCAGTTCAGACGAGTTGTACGTTATTAACAATAATTATTATTGAATACATAAGTGAAACTTACCATTTTGAAATCCTAACAAATACTACACGTAACAACTTTTTAATACTTATATAAAAAGTTAACGTTTGAGGAATGTGCTATTTTTTTCAATGAATATATATAATACAGATAGATGATGATTTATCTCATGATAACTTATCATGAAGAGATTTAAATATGAGTTTCGAAGGATATAATATGACTCATAATAGTATGTACCCACCTATAATATAGTTGGATATCTCTATTACCTTTGACTATACAGAAGATAATATACTTACAAAAATAGGTATACCCACATAATAAACTAAATTATGTTGTTATAGTTATACAGGTTGTTTCCGAAATTAGAGCGATAAATGAAGTGGGGAAGAGACGTCAGAAAAACAAAAAGAAATCAAAGAATACATTTTCGCCCGCGAAAAAATATTTCAGGAGGTATCAAATTTCAGAACTTTTCTTAGACCTTCATCAAACAAAAAGTAAGAAAACTGGATATCTTACAGGGGCACTTTTTCAAGGAGTCCTCACTAGTGTCCCTCATTGAATTTCCATTGAAAAAGTTATTCAAGAACTATAATAGGGCCCATAAAAAAATTCTCGAAACTCGCTATCTCATCTTTTTCAGGTCCTCTGATTATGATACCTTTTCCCATATTTTACCAGAGACCCTGTATAGATCTCTTAGTGTCTTGTAGATTGTAGATTATAGATGGGTCGTAGAGGCTGGGAGACCTCTCGATCACTGCGACCTAGAAGATCTATTGTGATTACCTCTATCTAGTTTTGGTCCTCTAACCCTAGACTTCTGATGAAGCCTACGATTTTCCTGACGGTTGACTTTTCCACTTTAGCAGGGGTGAGATAGACCTGTCTAGGGTCTATGTGTTCCGCGGTTTCGGTCGCATTGTTACGAAAGCGGCAAGTGTCAGTCTCCGCCAGGCCCATCTTTTTGAGGTGGTACCTCAGAGGGCCGTGTCCTGTGAGAAAGCCTGTGATGAGCTTTAGCTCTGGTTTGCTGAGGCTGAGTAGCTCTTTGGCTCGGTTCTGCGAATGGTTGATGAACCTTTTCGCTTGTCGTTGACCTGGAGTTGCTCTCCAGTAGAAGGACTTTTCAATTTCTTCCCATTTCCTGAGTTCTCCCTTTAGGTGACATTTGCTTATCCCACAAAAAGGCTCAGGACCAAAAAGTGCAGATGCTGCACCTCTCTTAGTGTCTTACTTTTCTAGTATATACATACTGGTTCTCCCGAGGGTTCTCCAGAATACCTGGGTGCTTACACGCAGAACACGCTGTATTATCTATATGACGTCGAATCAATATGGCTTCAAAATGTGATAATCTGCCATAAATTGAGATACTTTTCTTATATAAATGAGATAATCGTTATTTGAAGGTATTTTTTATTGACAATCGATACGAAATTTTCAAGCTGGTCAACGCTCAAGATGTACCTCAACACTAATGCCTACTATATACAGGGTGTCCAGAGTAAAAAAAAACGTAAGTCCGCTCAAGTCTTTCGATGAATTGAGGTTTTCCATCTGTTGAAATATTCTTCATAATTTTTTTCGGATATTTTATTGAGGTAACTAGGTGAAATGTGTTATCTAGATGTGATATACAGTGTGGTTATTTAAGTGTGCAACATATGGGAATCTTTTTATCGAATTGCACTACGAAAATACAGATAGTGCCGAAAGTTGGTGCATATTCGGTAATCATTTTAGGTGCACTTAGAATGGTTGCAAGTCACACAGCATACAGGGTAGGTCAAAAAATATAAAAATTGCTCAAGAGTAAAGTACTTACCCTTATTTCAAAAAATGTTGTAGAATTTTATTGAAAAAAGTTGTTTACAATTGAAATTTATGCCTAGATACCAAAACATGGCCCCCTAAGAAATTTTTCAGCTTCGTTGATAATTTCCCAATTTGTAATATTTTAAATACAAAATGTGCACATTGAATGGAAGTTTTTGAATATGCATATTATCATTAATGATGTTTTACCTTGTTAAAAATATGGTTTGCGAAGTTTTAAAGTTGAGCTGAATATCGTTGCAACAAACATAAAGTTTGTGATTCCCTAAAAAAATTAAAATCCAAGTAAATTGCACAAATATGCTTGAATCTGAACAAATTTATGGTCAACTGATTTTGTTATGATCAACTTATGAAAGTATTCAGGGTGAATATAAAAAAAATTACAAATTGGGAAATTATTCACGAACATAATTTAAAAACTCAAACATGTCTTAGAAGGCCATGTTTTGGTATTTAGGCATAATTTTCAATTGTAAACTACTTTTCTCAATAACATTCTGCTGAATTATCTGAAATAAGGGTACTTTACTCTTGAGCAATTTTTACATTTTTTGACCTACCCTGTATGCTGTGTTACTTGCAACCATTCTAAGTGCACCTAAAATAATTACCGAACATGCACCAACTTTTGGCACTATCTGTATTTTGGTTGTGCAATTCATTAAAAAGATTCCCATATGTTGCACACTTAAACGACCACACTGTATACAGGATGTGCCTCTCATACGACGAGAGATCAGTTTTGATGTGCCCAACATTTTTGTTTCGTCCATGCCTATACTTAACAAGAGTGATTTCAATATTTCAATATGGTTTCCAAATCAAAAAAACTCCTGTATGGTTATTAATAAGGCTCTGCCACAATATAGCGATCTGAGAAACCTCTTCCCATTCCTTCCCCTCACTTGAATATTTCAGTAACTTGGTTCTTGTCCACACTTATCTAAGCTCTATCAGGCCAAAACAAATATGGAAACTGATTCAAGAAAAGAATTACCTTGAACAAAAAAATTTCATAGCTCAAATCAATCATTACGTTTCGATTGTTGACTAGTTTATTTTACCTGCGTTTGTCATTTTCGGAATCTTGCACGCGGTACCACACCATGCAACGTTTCATAATAATATTCTTATTTTCGTATACTAAGATATTTATAAAGATACACGTAACGCTTTATAATAGGTTGCAACATTTCACAGAATCTGGATTACTTTCAGATTAAAAATTCGATAAAATTCACTACAATAAATCATCAATAGTGTATTATGCCGAAGGCCAGAAATTTTGGCACCATAATCACACGCTTCGACACGTAATTTTCTGAATATGTTTTACCATCTTCAGGAAAAAATTAAAACTAAATATCTTGTTCTAAAATGCTTTTTATGTACCTACGACTTGATCTTTGTTTGGTACACCGATGGTTCGAAAATGGAAGAAGGGGTAGGCGCGGGTGTATATGGACCCGGATGTAGGCTATTTGAAGCCTTAGGTCACTCCCCCACTATCTTCCAAGCTGAAATACATGCCATCAACCTTTGCGCCCAAAGGTGCCTGATCAAAGGTCTAAGGGGTGCCAACATATATATCTGCTCAGACAGCCAAGCCGCACTAAAAACCCTAAAATCATTCGTTTTCACATCAAAGATTACATGGGACTGCTTTGAAACACTCATGCAACTGGGAAAGGGCAACAAAGTCACACTTATGTGGGTTTCCAGGGCATGAAGGAATCAAAGGAAAAGAGGCAGCTGATCGCCTTGCAAAAAAAGGTGCAGCATCTGCACTTTTTGGTCCTGAGCCTTTTTGTGGGATAAGCAAATGTCACCTAAAGGGAGCACTCGGGAAATGGGAAGAAATTGAAAAGTCCTCCTACTGGAGAGCAACCACAGGCCAACGACAAGCGATAAGGTTCATCAACCATTCGCAGAACCGAGCTACTCAGCCTCAGCAAACCAGAGCTTGGGCTTATCACAGGCTTTCTCACAGGACACGGCCCTCTGAGGTACCACCTCAAAAAGATGGGTCTGGCGGAGACTGACACTTGCCGCTTTTGTAACAATGCGACCGAAACAGCGGAACACATACTTTGCTCATGTGAAGTATTAGTCCACCAAAGGCTGAACCACCTAGAACAGGTCTATCTCACCCCTGCTGAAGTGGAAAAGTCAACCGTCAGGAAAATCGTAGGCTTCATCAGAAGTCTAGGGTTAGAGGACCAAAACTAGATAGGGGTAATCACAATAGATCTTCTAGGTCGCAGTGTTCGAGAGGTCCCATCTACAATCTACAATCTACAATCTACGACTTGATCGTGAAAGGCACTGAATGACGTACTCGACTAGCACATAGCACATACTTCCCTAATAACACAATTGTATCCCATGGATATCCTAAGGACGTCCTGTCGGGACATTCAGGACGTCCATAGGACGTTCTTGATGCAAAATCACTGCGGCTTATGGGATTTTTTATACGTGAATTAAACTGTCAGTACTAAAATGATGCCAAAGTCAATATCATCAAACTATTCTACGTATTCAACCTAAGTTTAGGGCAGTTTTGTCAAAGTTACAATTAGAAAAATTCGAAAAATATCAAGAACTGAAAGTTGCAATAAAACGTTCCAATCCAAGACACATGTTGTGTGAAAGTGGAATGGAAACAACTTCTCTTAGTAAATTCAAATTTCAATAAAGTACATTATTATAATTTTTTTCCCATTTGATGCAACCTTTATGAATGAAGACACTGTATATATATGAAATATGGTAACAGGGGAAGGTTATCCGGTATTCTCAATAATATTTATAGTTCAATTCTATTACTTTACTGTTTTTGAAATTCTCCTGAAAATTTTCTGACGGCGTTTTTTGAATGGTTGTTGGTTTTCAAGTTCTTGATGAATATCAAATTTCTGAATTTCTCTAGACATTTCCACGTACCTTTTCCTTAGCTGGGCAACAAAGGCACGATCCCTATAAAAATTGAATTTTTTATGTTCTGTTCCGAATAAATATCAGTAAATAGGGAATCAAAAGTCGGGAAAGGAACATGTGAGCCGTTTTGACCCAAGTGTGATATATCAATAAAATCAGCTCTTCAGAGTCAATCTATTAATGCCATAAAATACAGGGTGTTCCATTCGAAATATCAATGTTGCTACTATACACTTTCTAGTAGAAGCGGCAACACTGCATTGTCGAGAATATTTTAAATGAAGAGTGTGTATTCTAAAATATAAGCATGTTTCATGGATTTTTCCCGACTGATTCTTGATATAAAGATAGTGCAA